GGGGGGGAGGGGGAGGATGCTACTGGGGGAGGGACACTGGGAAGCAATGAAATAAAATGGTGATTGACGCTCACAACTTCAGCCTCGGGCCTGAAGGAGCTGGTTCCACAGAGAACACAGTGGTGGGTGTGGAACGCTGGGGTGACCGGTTTTCAGATGGGAGAGAGCACGGGGTTTGGAAATAGCACATCCATTGCACGTTGCTTTAGGATTTCAAAGCTGCATCTGACCCTGGCTGCTCTGTTTTCTCTGGGTGGCGTTGGCTCCGTGGTTTCTAGTGTTATATACGACTTCACTTATTTTCAGACACTTAATGAAGCAGACCCACTGGTTGAGTCTATTCTTTGTAGAATTCTTCAGCAAAGCTGCCCACACAAGTCAAAATTCAGGAGAGTCCCCGGGGAGAGTTAAATGCTCCGAATTCCAGGCCTACCCTATGCACGTATTTGCCTCTGTAACCTTCACCTATGACCAGTGCCCAGTACCGTGATTTCCTACGTCAGTGCAGCGTGTCAAACCGTCACAGACGCCAAGGCTCTGCGCTCCAACCCAGGGCCCAGACCACCTGCCACAGGGGCCGTCTCACTGACGGAGGCGACATTCGTGCTGCCACCCAGGAGCCAGTGTTTCGAGACCGCAGATTTAAGTCATGCTTCCTGATGTCCGACCTCCATTACAGCTGTCATTGGGCTAAATACACCCAAGTAATTTCTTTTTTTTTTAAAAAAAAAATATATATTTTTACTGATTTCAGAGAGGAAGGGAAAGGGAGAGAGGGATAGAAACATCCATGATGAGAATCATGGATCGGCTGCCTCCTGCATGCCCCCCACTGGGAATCGAGTCCACAACCTGGGCATGTGCCCTGACCGGGAATCAAACCGTGACCTCCTGGTTCATAGGCCGGGCCTCCCAAGTAATTTCATCCCAACGAGTCGTTTACGGGAGGGACAGAGGACAGGTGTAGACTAGGGCTTTGTAAAAAAGTTCGCGTTAATGCTGGGACTGGGCACCTCTGCGACACAAAAATACTCAGTGAGGCCAAAGGATGAGGCATCTATTTGTAGACCAGCTTAGGCAGCAGTACTCTTCTCCCGTGACCACAGGAAGCCCTGAGGGTGTGTGGGGAACGGACTGCGAGGCTGCACAGCAGCGTCTGCCTGTGCGGGGAGCCGACTGGGGACCCGCCCTGCTGGCTGTGGGCTGTGTGGATGGAAGGAGTGGGCTCTGGGGTTTGACAGATCAGGAATCAAGCCCGGTCTCTGCACCTTAAGAGCCACATAACCTGGCCCTGGCCGGTTTGGCTCAGTGGATAGAGCGTTGACCTGCCGACCGAAGGGTTACAGGTTCGATTCTGGTCAAAGGCACGCACCTCAATCCCCAGGCCTGGTCGGGGCGCATGTGGGAGGCAGTCAACCCATGTGTCTCTCTCGCATCGATGCTTCTCTCTCTGTGTCTCTCCCGCCTCCACTGTCTCTAAAAATCAACAGGAAAATGCCCTCTAATGAGGAAGCTGCATAGCCTTGGGCCTGTCGCCGCCCCGCCGGGGCCTCAGTCTCTCCATCTGCGGGGTGAAGGCAGCAGCTCTCCTTGCGGAAGTTGAGGCGTCACACCTGTGTGGGGAGCCCCGTGAAAGGCTGTGTAAACGTCCAGGCCCCCATTTCTCCGGTCCCCCCACTGAACCAAGGCTCGGGGTCCCCAGGCAGGATCCCCTGCGGCCTTGCACTCCGAGAAGGAGCATCTAAAGGTGGAGCAGGGAGTAGCTTTGACAGGGAGAGACCTGGAGAGGGTCCCACACCTGCGGGGAGAAAGCACGGCGGGCAGGCAGGAAGCGGCGTCTCTGCAGGAAGAACTGAAAGAAACCACGCGGCACTGAAAGCCGCGCTGATTGCTGGAGCGATGAGCGGCGCAGCGTCAATGTCGGGGGGAGTTGGATCCTCACGTCCCCACAGGGAACCGGGGGAAGGTTCTGGTTGTGGTGGTGGCTGGCCCGCTCCTGGGTGCAGGTCTCCGAGGGGCTATGGCCCGGCTGCCGGACCCAGGGGTGGGCTGCTGGGAACGAGGGTGCAGCCATCCTGTGTGCGAAATGCTAGAGCCCAGCCCGCGAGGCCCAGGGGTTGAACGTCGACCTAGGAACCAGGAGGCCATGGTTCGATTCCCGGTCAGGGCACATGCCCAGGTTGTGGACTCGATTCCCAGTGTGGGCCGTGCAGGAGGCAGCCGATCCATGATTCTCTCTCATCACTGCTGTTTCTCTCTCTCTCCCCCTCTCCCTTCTTCTTTAAAATCAATAAAAATATATTAAGAAAAAATTACAGAACCCATGTTGGAAACAGTGTCTTGGCGCTGGACGTGGCCCCTTGATTGACGGCAGCAGAGTGACCCAGTGACCCACATTGGCGCGGTCCCGAGGCCCGGCTCTGGGTCAGGCCCCCTCTCGCGAGGAGACAGGCTGCCCGCACCCTCATTCCTCTGGTGGCTCACGTGCGCGTGGGGGACTCTGGCCGGGCTGCCCAGCTGCCGTGGCCTGCCTTCTGCTCTGATTTATGGACCTGGTTTGGAATTCTGGCTCCCGTGTTGTTGACCTCGAATCTGCTGGCCCCGGCGCCAACCCTGCTCTGTGGCGGGTTTGCTGTTCGTGTTCCCTTTGTTCGGGATTCTCCTTTCTTTCCCCTTTGGTCCCTGCCGGGCCTTCAAGAAATACTTCAGCTTCTCAAAGAGAATACTTTTCTAAATGATTGTGATCATGGGCCGGCCTCTGTAATTATCCCCGCGTTACATTCACCGTTTTTACAACCATGGCCGTGCCCCGGGACCGAAGAGGGCCCCTCAGTGCCAGGCCAGCCCGCGAGGGTGGTGGACGTCCTGGGACCTTCTGCGGTGTGTTGGATCTGGGAAGACATTTCACTGGTGTGTTATTTATGATTTTTTGGAGCACAATTCCTCAAGCTTGATAAAATAAAACACAATTGCCTGGCCAGTGTGGCTCAGTGGTTGAGCATTGACCTGTGAACCAGGAGGTCAGGGTTTGATTCCTGGTCAGGGCACATGCCCGGATTATGGGCTCGATCCCCAGTGTGGGCGAGTAGGAGGCAGCCGATCAATGATGTTTCTCTCTCATCATTGATGTTTTTCTCTCTCTCTCCCTCTCTGAAATCAATAAAAATATATTTTAAAAAATAATGCACAATTATCTAGAAGCACTTTGTAACAAATAAATTTTTCTTCCTCTCGGTTAGTGGGGGGAGTGACTGTTACTAAGACAACGTTGGAAAAGTTTTACCAATATCGACCTCTTGCGCCTAGTGAGTGGGTGGGTGGTACATGACTCAGCTCTTAGAAGTGAATGAATTCTTTCGGGGTAACAGGCACCAGGCAGGATGCGGAGGCCGACATCCTGAAATGAGTGAAGTGATTTATGATCAGATTTCCCTGAGCGTCAGAAGCCGGGCGGCTGGGTACCAGGCCAGACAACCTGGTTTTTTGGCGACTTGGCTCCCACCGGAGCCCTCTTCCCTTCGTGCTCGGGAACGGCACCCTTTTCATCAGAAACGTTGTGAAACGTGAACATATTTCACAACTAAAAATCCCCCCGAGATTGACTTTATCCCTCATTGATTACTTAGTGCCACGTCACTGGGCAAACATTCCCGAGAGTTCAGTACCCCTGGGCCACAGGCAGTTTGATAAGAATATTTGAGGAGCACACCAAATATTTGCCGGGTCTCGTTCCTTAAAACGCAAGTTACATTTCAGAGCTCACCTAACGCAGTGGGAGGAGACTTTTTGCTTTGGCTTTCCGGGGGCTCATCTTAGTGAAAGCAGGAAAGTAAACCTATAAAATGCATGCAAAGCGTTCTTAGCACTGAGCAGGGAAACCGTATCACTAGCCCCGTTCATTTCCGTGAATGGTTTACTCAGGGGGCTAACTCTCCTTGTTTGCTTCTGCATCTGGGCAGATGGCTTGTTATACCGGTGTTGGGTGCGACTGAGAAAGTATCATTTCCCTCCCCAGCGGGATGGCTGCGGAGGATGCCGCGGACACTGGAGACTTTCCCGGCAGCGTGGGAACCCTTCTTCCTGCCCCACGGGCTGTCTCTTCTCCGGGACTTCAGGTCCGAGGAGTCAGCCTCCCGCCCCTGCCTCCCCTGTCACCCTCTCCCTCTCCTCTGTGTTTCCTTTCCTTTCTCTCTGCATGTCTACCCCGGCTTGGCTTGTGGTTTTCTTAAAAAAATATTTTTATTGATGTCAGAGAGAGGAAGGGAGAGGGAGAGAGAGATAGAAACATCAGTGATGAGAAAGAATCGTTGATTGGCTGCCTCCTGCACGCCCCCTACTGGGAATCGAGCCCACAGCCTGGCCACATACCCCGATGGGGAATTGAACCGTGACCTCCTGGTTCATAGGTCAAGGCTCAACCACTGAGCCGGGCCGGCTGGGCCCCCAGTTATTGTATGCTTCATGCGCAGAATCTCTGTGCTTGAAAGTGCCTATGTCCTGGTCAGGATCCCCAGGTGGATTGTGGGTGTTTGGACGGGTGAATGAGGGCGTGACGTGTGTGTAGACGCCTTCGTCTGGACCCCCTGCAGCAGCTCCAGGTCTGTTTCCCTGACTTCTCTTGCTTTGTAATTACATTGTCGGGTGACTTTGGATTGCGCTGAACAATGTGTGCTGAAACACTGTGAAATTAATTCGAAGCACCTGACAGTCACCCCCGGCCTCCTCATTGTAGGTTGTGTGTGTTTATTTGGCAAGAGCCTAGGAACACTCGCGATCCCAGATCGCCTCGGTCTAATTATAGAAATTAGCATGACACGGAGCTGGGTTTCAGGCCCCGAGAAGCTGGAACTATTTCGGGCTTATCTGTACTCCCAGGGCTCAGCCCTTTGGGGTCATAACCCCAAACACGGGGTGTCTCCCTAGAACATGTCTGCTCCCCACCCCCCTGCCCGGCCTCCCGATCTCCGCTCAGCATCTCAGC